ACTTTCTTCATACCAGACCTCGCTCTTGTTAATTGAACTCTAAAGTGGCGAGTGACTGCATGTGCATTTCAGTTACGCCCCTGCTGTTTCCTCCTCCTTCATGTCAGCCCTCATCCTGCTTCCTTTCCACGCTTAGCCTCCTTGACCCCAGGACTCACCAGATGCTGTCATAAAGCACATTCTGTCTTCTCCTCAGCTGGCAGTTCTGGAGCCACAGGCTTGATTCTGAGGAGTAGGACCAGATCCCAGGCCACTCCCAAAAGTATATGTGCATGCATGTGTGTACACGTGGGTGTGTGTGCGTGCATGTGTGTGTGATGTGTGAGTGTGTGTGTGAGGGAGAGAGATAGGAGGTGAAATCTACATAAAGAAGGGCGGCCTGGCGTTTCCACCATCATGGCTCTCATCCTCACTCTCAAGCCAGGTGGTCCTTCACACACAGGCCTGTGCAGACACATCCAGAAGATGCAGGGATCACACCCCAAACTCCCCAGTCACTTTAGCAGTCACATCACAAGATGATCCAAGCAAAGATAGCCCCAGGTCTCATAGCAACAATGCCTCAAAGAAAACTGATGCACTCTGTGCCTCTACTAGTACCTTAGGTGGGGAGCAGACACTGGGCCTCCCAGACCTACTTGGAGGAATTTGTCAGCATCTTTGATGCCAAGCTGAAGCATGTTTCTCTCACTAGTCCCTGAAACGTCTAAGAAACTCATTTCTTTGTGAGGCCTGTTCCCAACCCCCCTACATCCCTGTTTTTTGGACCAATCCCTGTTTGGTATGGTTGGGGCCAGTGGATTGTTTAAAACACTCTGTCCCCTGCCCAGTCCTGCCCAAAGCCTGGGTCAGGTATGCAGCAGGAGCTGCAGGTAAGGGCTGTACCCCTAAGAGAGAGAGGAGATCAGATTCCCCACAGGCCCCAAGAGCTGCATTTCAAGGTTCCCGGTTCTGATTCCAAAATCCGTTTAACCTCTTCTTCAGCTGAGCCTGAGAACTTTTGGGACTCATTCAGTGCAGAGGGACTCATTGAGGGGACCCCAGCATTAGACTCCAAGGGTCTGTGGCTGTTCGGGGAGCTATATTCTTATCTAGTCAGCAGCATTCTGCAAGGAGGCACATGGAGGCCAGACTGGATGAACATCTGCAGGCTGGGTTTTCCCCATGAAAAGAGAGACTTAAAGAAGCAAGAAAACTACTTGAGGATAAAATCCGTCTGTACTAGATCCTTACTTAGAGAAGAGTCCCAGAAGCATCCCCTTGACTGACATTGAATGAAAGGAACCTGTGACTTCCTTACCGTTTGTTTTAAACCCTAACAAAAAGCAAACCTATTTTTGTGGGTCCTTTGTAAACCCCTCACTCTTACAGCACCTTTGAGACACCAAGTGTTTTCACCTCCATGACTCCATTTGCCCCTCGTGATAACTCATTTTACAGATAAGGGGCTAAGGCCCAGAGTAAGGCAGCACCTACCCAGAGCCACATAGTGACCTAGCCTAGTACAAACCCCACTCTGAATGCAAAGCCTGGGCCTTTCCTCTGCCACTCCAAGCTACACCATAACCCTCAAGACTACAATGGGGCTGAAGTGCCTGTGACAGGACCTGCATGGGAGGGGGAAGAACTAGGAGACCTGGGCCCTGGCCCTGATCTAAGTGACCCTAAGGAGGCCACATCTCTTTTCCAGCCTCAGCTCCTTCTCCTCTGAGTCTTAACCTCCAGGGATTTTAGTTCTTGGTTCTCCCGAGGAGGACTGGCCCCTGTGTGGGCTCCCATGGGACTCCATTTTCCCCACTGCTGCCTGCCTGATGACCTGCCCATAGCACAGAGCGAGGACAGGCAATAGGAAACTCCTCCCACAGCACAATGGGTCCCGGGAGGGTGGTTACAGTAAAAGCTTGGATAGAGAAAGAGGCTGGAGCAATTCATTCTTATGAGCTTGTCTGATTTCCACTTAGCTGGGCACTCAGGTCCTCATTGCCATGCATAATGAGAAGCTGGCCACATGCCACTGAAAACAGTCCCAAACCTGAAATGACCTAAATGTTCACAAACGGGGAGAAGATTATCAAAATCTTGGTACTGAGCATTAAATGTATGGTTACAAAAGATTTTTCTGGAGATGTAGACATGGCAACATGCTTTGATATAAACTGAAGTAAAACAAATCAGACTGCAAAACTGCATGTGTGGAAATCTCAGCTCTTTAAAATAATACTCAAGGAGAAGAGGAAATACGCCAAAATGATAATCGCGGTTCCTGCAGAAGTTGTATATTTTTTTTTCAAAAATCAGGAGGAAAACATTTTTAATTGGCAGTAATAGTTTCAACTTTCTCTATCAATATTTTTCTTTTTCAATTTTTAACCCAACACATATACATCTGATTCTATCAATATTTTTTATTTAAGTACAGAGTCCTTGGCAAACACCAAGCCTCCCACCACCGTTGCAAGGAAAGAAAGTGACAGTGTTCCAATCTTAGCTTCAGAAAAAGACATACCAAGCTATGGCAATGACCCCAGACCCCTCAGGATGATCAAAAATGCCCCCACAGATGTTGCAGCTCAATATTCTTTTTTTTTTTTTTCTCTCCAAAAAGACAATGATTCTAGGCTTTTAGTTTTATACTTCTAGCCCAGAGTTTCCCAACATATGTACCTTGGATCAATAACAGGTTGGTAGTGGGTTACTACTGAATAAGGATACCACATTCAAACAGCTGGGCAAGTTCACATTTCAATGTAATGAATTCAAAGAGGATACTCTATGAACAGAGCCTCAAAGAGATATAGCATATGTTATATGCAATATCATATCATGAGAAATGATATAGCATGTATCATTTCCCAAAAACTAGTTTAGGACTATCTCAAGGAATGACTATTCTATGGAGATAGGGGTATCTTGGGAAGTGCAGCTTTAAGCCCCAGCTTCCACCCCTCCCATCCCCCTACCCACCCCGTTCTCTCAGCCTTCGTGCCCTGTGGTTCTCAGCCCTGGCAGCAAACTGGAACACTTGCAGAGCCTGAAAACATCTTTTGGTCTGGGTGCCATCTGGATTTGGGCTGGCGAGGGGGACAGCCCGAGTCAGGAAGCTAAGACTCTTCCTCATACCTTTTTAGTTGTTCATGCTAAGGACAGCTCAACACTAGGATTGAGGTCCAATCTCAAAATTACTCACACATCACCCAGTTTGGGAGTTAAATGGCACCTTGGGTAACATCTAGTCCAATCTCTCATTTTACAGAAGAGGAAACTATGGTCCCAAGGGATTCCTAGCCCCCTGTCTCTTCCCATGCTGCTTCTAGCCAGTGCCACGCTGCCCTGCGGTCTCTGGACCTCAGGACCCTTCAGTCAGAGGGAGAAGCAAAGGACAGCCTTCAGATCTCCGAGGCCATTTCACTGCCAGAGGATGCCCATCAGGCCCCTCTCTCCGCAAGTGAACTAGGACACAGTAAAATGTTGACATAAGTCCTCTTCCTAACACAATACCAAAACCCAGAGCCAGAGACGTGAAGCCGGGAAGCTGCGCTGACTCACAGAAAGGGAAGCTTGCGATGGCAGTGGGCAAACACACCAGTGTTCCCCGAGGCAGCCTGAGCAGAAGGCAGGTACCATCTCTCCTCCGGGCACTCTGCTTCAGCCACAGACCACAGAGCCTCTGCCACAGCTGCCTTTGAAGCCAGGAGACTCCAGCATACTGCTAAGCCCCTCTGAGTGGATGGCTGTGGCCTCAGTTCTTCTGGCAACACTCTTGCTCCTAAACAGGGAATCTGTAATAGGATATCTCCACGCTTTTCAGTTTCACATCCTACACTCCCAATCAATCCCCCTTTTGAAGCTTAAGATTCCACTATTTTCTTCTCTTAGCAGCTTTGAGAAAAAACCTGAAGCTGGATAGGTGTTAGGAGGGTGAAAGATGCACACACCCCTTGCCTCAAAAGTACCCTTCCCTCAGGGCTCCTGATGATCAGCCCTCCACCTCTGCTCCAGCCACCTGCCAGGCCCCCTTGCAGGCAAAGGAGCTGTTCTCAGAGCCTCCTACAGCGCAGTCTCTAGACAGCCTTCTAAACTCCAGGCCCAGCGAAACTCCCCACCAAGCATCTCCACGAAGCATCTCCGGTGGTCTCCAATCTGCCCTCCCTGAGTTTGGAGAGGAAGAGAAGAGGCCATAGGACACAGAAGCAGATAGGGGAGCCAAGTGAAGTGCAGGAGCCCAGTTGGGGTTTCAGGGGTTTCCTGCAGCAGGAAAAGCAGAGTAACTAAGCAGCGGCCGGGCCTGAGGGACGCCCCTTTCTTGGGGTTGCATATGTGCTTTAGCTAAGCCGCCTGGACCACATTCTCAACGAGTTTTTCTTTTCCGCCTGTCAGTGTCTGTGAGGTTGATCCATGGAAGGGCCACGTCCACAGGTCCCTGGTTTCATTGTGACATTTCAGACCCACCAGTGCTTCCACATCTGCCCAATAGTCCTGTCAGGGAGGTAGAGGGAGGCGGACTGGAACCTCACTAGAGCCAATTTAACTCAACGTTGAGAAACGTTAGGACACTATTTTTAATATCAATACTTAGCTAAGCTAGAGAAGATAGTACAAAATTCACATATACTTTGGAGAGTATTAAAATGATAAGCGTCTCATCAGAGGCTGTCATGGGCTCCCCAGGGAACGCTCCCCTCTCCCTGCCTTGTGGATCGCATGAAGTTTGCACAGAGCTGCGGGTGGGTTACGGTTCGGTCAAGGTGTGCGGATTCGTAATTTAAATAAATAAATAAATAAATAAATAAAACCTTATTGCGGTCCTCCCCGCCAAGAGTGGCAGTAAAGCCGATTGCCCCAGTTCTGGCATAGAACTGAAAGCCGCCGCCGCCCCAAGCAACTTTCGGGAACAACTCCGGCCTCGGGAGGGGCGAGAGGCGCGAGAGCCGCTGCCTGCAGCCACCTGTCCCAGCGATCGCCCCTCCCTCCGCTCGCGCGTTCCTTCCCGCGAGTCCTACCATGTCCCCGGCGGTGGCCGGGCCCGCTCCTCGGCGCGCTCAGCCGGCCCGCAGACTCATCCCGCCTCCCTTTGGCCGCCCCCGGCGCCGTGGCTAGCCGGGCTCCCCCGGACGCGCGACTTCTCGGCCGGGACGGGTTTCCTGGACTGAAGGTCTACACCTTCCCAGCACCCAAGTGTCCCCGCGCCAACTCCCGTGAGATCGCTGCGCGCCGGGATGCTCCGCGGGTGGGGAATGCTCGGGGATCTGCGGGAGCCCACCCGCGGCCGCGAGCCTCCGCTGTCTACTTACTGGGGACGTTAGCCCAGTTTGCAAAGTCCCTGCCGCGCGTCCCGGCCCAGCCTCCCCATTCCCCCGAAAGCACGGGAGGGGGAGCTCCTTTCACAATAAAAGCCCTGCCGGGGGCTCAGCCAGCCGCAGTCTTCTGGAGTAGGGGCCCAGGTGCTAGGAAGGAAAGGTCCCCGCTCGGCCTGCCCTCCTGCCACGTGAGGCGCCGACGCGGGGCGGTGAGGGGCGCCTCTCAGGTGTGAGCCTCTCGGTGAGCCCACTGCAACTCGGCGATACAGCTGTTGCCCAAACTTCCACCCTCTCCTGCCAAGCTTCAGAAAGACAAGTCTTTTTTTACTGTCACTTCTTCGCTTTGTTTGGGTTCAGTCCCCAAGGGGATTTGGAAGGAAAATCCGTTGACCACTAAGTTCATTAACAATGGAGTTTTTGTCCTTAAGAACTAATCACTGTTAAGAGTTGCCGGGCGTGGTGGCTCAAGCCTGTAATCCCAGCACTTTGGGAGGCCGAGGTGGGTGGATCACGAGGTCAAGAGATCGAGACCACCCTGGTCAACATGGTGAAACACCGTCTCTACTAAAAATACAAAAAATTAGCTGGGCATGGTGGCGCGTGCCTATAGTCCCAGCTACTCAGGAGGCTGAGGCAGGAGAATTGCTTGAACCCAGGAGGCGGAGGTTGCGGTGAGCCGAGATCGCACATTGCACTCCAGCCTGGGTAACAAGAGCGAAACTCCGTCTCAAAAAAAAAAAAGTCACTGAGGTGGCTGATACTGCCTCTCCGCTTCGGATGCACACAGTGCCTTTGTTCCCCTGATCACCTACTGCCAACTGTGGCAGTCAGAGCAGGACCTGAGAGTCTATATGCTCCTCGTTGGGGAGTGTCCTGGGCTTAGGGGGTCTGTAGTCCCAAAATCAGGGCTGGCCCCATTATTAACAGCTGGGTCAGCATAGACCAGTCCCCACACATCTTTATGACTTGTGTCCCTCAATAGCAACGTTTGCACCCCAGGATTCTTAAGAGCCTGTAGGCAATGGAGGCAGAGTCAGCAAGCAGTAGGGTGCCCTGAGTGAATCTGGGGGCCAGGCTGAAAAAGCCTCCAACATTGAAACTAACAGGAAGTATCATTAGCTAGATGAAGACAGACCTCTTCCCAGCAGCCACCTGCTCAAAATGACTTGAGGTTATCACTGATGGCAGTGTTTCCTAAGGGAAGCAAAGATCCAGAGGGTCCCCTTAAATTGTGTATGTGTGTATGGGCGGGAGTAACAGATGAAGAGAAAATACTCAGTCCTTAACATTCCAGATGCTTTCTGTATGTTATTTCATTTAATCATCACAAATGATCCTAAAAGGAAAAATTTTGCAAATGAGGCAAGTCAGGATTAGGGAGGTGAAGTAACTTTCCTGAGACCAGATAGCCAGTAAACAGTTTAGCCAATCCAAGTCTATTTTCTAGAACATGAAACAAAGAGGAAGACTTGATACAGCAGGAACAGGAGGCAGGATGCGGCACTGCAAACTGCAGCTTGTCTGTGCATATGGAGCACTGACAGGGTGGAGAATTTGAGCCCTGCTTGGGAGATGAGGAAGGAGGGAGGAGGACAGTACAAACCATTCAGGGTTTTATTTAGATGTTTAGGGAGATGCTGTGATCTTTTGAGTCTCATTTTCTGACTGCAACTACACACAAGATGTATATTAAGCATATGTGTATAAATGTAACTAAAAGAATATTTTATAAAACATGACTTCATGTGATGCACTCTGATATTTTCTATTCTATTCCAATTTGACATATTTTTAATGGTGGTCTCAAATCACTGAGATGGGAAGAGAGTTCCCAGTATTTCCCAGGATTACTGGAAGCAGAACTGTTTTCAAAGGAAGCAGCTCTGACGATTCATGGAACACACTTGGGGAAAGCTGCTGCAGGATCTAGCCCAGCCAAATGAAATGTTACACAAGAACATGGCTAAGCTGTAAAGAATTATTTGTTGTCATAGCATATCCCAGTCCATCCTAACAACATGAATTAACTTACTTTTGAGAATTACTTGAAAGGAGTCATAAATCAGGTTTTTGTCACTTCTCTGCTCAAAACCTCCCAGAGGCTTCACATCTCCTGCAGTGTAACGTGCCACATCTTACAGGGGCCTACCAGTCCTTTCGCACTTTGGCCCTCATTATCTCTGCATGTTCTCTCTCACTCACTGTGCTTCAGGACACACTCACCTTTTTATTGTTCCTTGCTTACTATAGGCACGATCCCACCTCAGGACCTTTGCATATGTTATCCCTCTCCCTGGAATGTCCCAGATATCTCCATGGTTTGCTCCCTCATCTCCTTCAGGTCTTTGCCCCAGTGTCACCTCTTCGGTGAAGCCTTCCCTGACCACTCTAGTTAAGATTGCACACTCCATCCCTCTTCTGTTCCACCTTGTGATTTTTTTTTCCTGAACTAGGCAACTTCTTAGATGCTATATTAAAGGATTTTAGATTCAGATAACCAATAAATCCCTCCCTTCTAGGAAACAACACTTTATGTTCTGTTACTTTCAAAATTTTGGCTGATTGGTGGTTGGCCACTCCCAGGTTGTTGGCAGGGCCTCTGGTTACACTGCAGATCTTGCAAGTAGGAAACATTCAACTCATCCAACTGAGATAGGCTGGTGCTAGAGAGGAATATTTTATTATTTTTATGAGAGGGTGCTTCCAAAGTTCATTAGGAGTGAGTCTATCTTTCACCAGTTAGAAGGAGATTTCCAGCTTCCTCTAAGGATGTTTTAGGATTTCTTATAAATTGGTACCCCAGGCAGCTGCCCAACAGGTCCACTCTTTAATGTGATTCATTGTCTAGCTCCATTCCAGACTTACTGAATCAAACTTTCCAAGGCTTGAGTGTCTTTATATTTTTTAAGCATAGCCAGGGCTAAGAACTGATGAACTAAGTAATTCCTCTTCCTTGGCTCCCGTATCTAAATGGCCTTTCTAAATGATTCTGGAATCTTTCCCCTCCTTGCAGCCAGTTCTTTGGCTCAAACTTTTGTCATCACTTACAGCACTCTCAGAAACTCAACTAGCATCTCAGGCTCTACTTTTGCTCTCTCCAATCCACCCTGCATATCACTGACAAAATGTAAACATGGGCCTGCCACTGACCTGTTCCACATAACTCTCAGGGTTAAATGCAAATTCCTCAACAGCATGGCTTTCAGACTCTGTCAAGGTCTCGTCTCTTATTACCTTTCCAGGCCTTTGACACACTCCTAAACCTTCTTCAGGGCAGGTCCCTCCATCTCAAAGCCTCTTCTTGACACATTCTTATTTCCAACTTGACATACTTCCCTGCACTGGTCCTCTCCATCCTGAAGGTCCAGCAATGCATGTCCCATGAAGTTCTCTGTTGCAAATATTATCTCTTTGTGGCTCTCACTCCCTAAAGGAAAGAACCATTCTGGGCCTTCTATCTCCATCTTCCTGATACCAAGTAGCTACTTAGTAAATGCTTCTGAATAAAGGAATGAGACAGAAGACCGAGGTTCAAAACTGAATCTACCACTCACAAAGCATAGGTCCTGAGCAAAGCCACTTTCTCTCCACCTGCTTCAGGTTCCTCATTTGACAAATAAGAACCATCATCCCAGCCAAGCCTAACTCCCTGGATTCCTGCAAGCATGTAATGTGCTCGTGTAAGTTACATCATACAGAATTGGACTTTTCTCATGGTAAACTTTCAAAAACATTTACTGAATCCAAGAATGATGAAGGAGAAGAAAACTTCTTTTGCAGCAGAGAATGTTAGCATCCAGTTTACATTCTCTCTGTTTTCATTCACTGAACTCCTATATTTTAAGGGGCAGCAGTATACTTGGCCAAAATATTATATATTTCACAACTTCCCTTGCAAAAAGAAACAGCCAATAAGAAGCAAATGAAAGTCATTGGTGGGGCCCACAGAAGCATTTGAAAGGGGACTGGGGTAATTTACATTATTGTTCAGCAAATATTCACTCCCTGTATTGGTCTGTTTCATGTTGCTGATAAAGACATACCCAAGACTGGGCAATTTACCAAAGGAAGAGGTTTCATGGACTTAAAAGTTCCACATGGCTGGGGTGGCCTCACAATCATGACAGAAGGCAAGGAAGAGCAAGTCACATCTTATATGGATGGTAGCAGTCAAACAGAGAGAGAGAGACCTTGTGCACGGAAACTATGCCTTATAAAGCCATCAGATCTCATGAGACTTATTCACTATCATGAGAACAGCAGGGAAAAGAGCTGCTCCCATGATTCCATTACCTCCCACAGGGTTCCTCCCACAACATGTGGGAATTCAAGATGAGATTTGGGTGGGGACAGAGCCAAACCATATTATTCCTCCCTGGCCCCTCCCAAATCTCACGTCCTCACATTTCAAAACAAATCATGCCTTTCCAACAGTCCCCCCAAAGTCTTAACTCATTTCAGCATTAACTCAAAAGTCCATAGTCCAACATCTCATCTCATCTGAGACAAAGCAAGTCCCTTCTGCCTATGAGCCTGTAAATCAATAGCAAGTTAGTTATTTCCTAGATACACTGGGTGTACAGGCATTGCGTAAATACAGCCATTCCAAATGGGAGAAATTGGCCAAAACAAAAGGGCTACAGGCCCCATGTAAATCCAGCAGGGAAGTCAAATGTTAAAGTTCCAAAACTGTCTCCTTTGACTCCATGTCTCACATCCAGGTAATGCTGATCCAAGAGGTGGGTTTCCCACGACTTTGGGCAGCTGCACCTCTGTGGCTTTTCAGGGTATAGCCCCCTCCTGGCTGCTTTCATGAGCTGGCGTGAGGTGTCTGCGGCTTTTCCAGGTTCATAATGCAAGCTGTCAGTGGCCCTACCATTCTGGGATCTGGAGGATGGTGGTCTGCTTCTCACAGCTCCACTGGGTGGTGCCCCAGTAGGAGTTCTCTGTAGGGGCTCCCACCCCATATTTCCCTTCCACATTGCCCTAGAAGAGATTCTCCAAGAGGGCCCTGCCCCTGCAGCAAACTTCTGCCTGGATATCCAGGCATTTCCATACAGCCTCCGAA